GGCAGAGGGAAGATCAGACAGTGATTCAGAAATATCAACTCTTGGCATCAAGACATTAATGTCTTGTAGCCTGTAGGGTGAATGGAACCATGTAACTCACTGAGAGCTTTACTTTAATCTCTTCCTGTACTATCTAATTTGTGTTGATTCAAAATTAGATTTAATTGCAGTGGTTGCATTTACTCCTCTGGCACCAGGGAGACCAGCCAACTATAACCTTTATTATCTCTTCTGGTGAAGGCCACATTTGGTGAAAGGTAAGTATCTTGGAAAAGCTTATCTCCCCAACCCCCTTTTATTAGATTTCAGGCAAAATTCTGCATTAAGCGAACTCATTCTTCATGCTTTACCAGGTTTCTCTTAACTCTTTGTCTCCCTTGCCCCAGCCCATTTGCTAGAGGCTTGTGTTCCTGGAGTAGATGTCTGATAAGCAAGTTCACATCCCATTGTTAAAGGGTTTAAGATGCTGATTCTCCAGGGAGTATTCTAAGGGGACCCCATGCCTAGCATAATGTCTTATCCAAAAGAACCCATCTCCAATGGTGGATTTTCTGGCGTGGGGTAGCTACATAAAGGAGAAATTGTTTTGATCAGGATTATCTTTCTGGGGCCACTCAAGTTCTTCCTACTTGACTTACAAACAACTCTGGTCATGGGTACAGAGACAACACATCCTTTGGGGATTTGAATTCACATTTCTTGTGACTCAAATTAAAGACAGAATTTTCCATGGAAACACTACCTCAAGGGTGTCTTTGTTCAAGACCCAAATGTAATGGAAAGATCTTCCCACTTCCCACTGGTGGTTATTTGTGGTGTAAATGTTGGGGACCTGATGCTGTGCTTAGATGACCCTTTTCTTGATGTGCCTTGTAGGATAAGGGCTAATCCAATGAGTGGATGCCATCTTTCCTGAGGGGGCAGTGGCCCAGAAGTCACCACTGGGAAGAGACACGTACTCAGGCAGGAAAGCGGAGTCTGGAAGTCCAGGACTCCTGCCTCTTCCTGAGCCTCAGTTTGTGAATGTGGACTTCAAGGAATTTGTGAGAACGTCAAGGGTTATTTGCTTCTGCTCCATTGAGCTTGTTTTCCTCTCAGCTGAGACTCTTCAATAGCATTTAGACTTTTCTTTCTATTTTCCAAGGACCTTTATCCCTTAATCTTGGGGATGTTCAATCAGAAATTGCAACCCAGCTGGGAAAAGATGGTTGAGGGGGGCTTGAAGAAGCAACCCGGAGGTTCTGCTGGTGGGAGAGCTGCCTAAGTTGGTTCAGTCCAGGGAGTATAATAAGAACTTGCTTCATCTGGTGCTGTTTCAGGAGATTCTTTGCACCTCTCGCTTTTTCTATCATCATGAGTGACTTTTCCTGAATACTCATTGGCTTCACAATTGAAGTGTCCCCAGGCTGGCCTTTGGGTTATAATGTAGACACCGTTAACTGGACATGAACTTTCATCTTTCATAAGATGGTGGCTTATTGTAGATAAATTTTTAACCTTAGGAGCCGACTGTTCAGTAATCTCAGAGTCTTCTTACTGCACCGGGAAGCCATTCTCAGGCATGGATGCAATTCTTTCAGGCCTGAACCAGCATTTTCTACTTCAATCCCTGTTCCTGGACAGTTTTGAGTAGAAAACTTCCTAGGATGTTAATGTATTCTTCCTCCTGAGTATTCTTCACCTCCTGAAAAACAAATCTCACTATTTGGGGCCTTCTCTTCCATGAAGCCATCCAGGTCTTTCCTTCCCCAGAACTCAGAGGTCTTTTTTTCCCAATGATCTTTTGGCAGTGAATCACATATATGCCTTATTGACTTACTCCAGTAATTGTTTTATGGCAAGCATAATACTCACTTTACTTATTTTGATGTATGGCAGGCATCTCTGTCTGTGCAAGGAGACTCTGGAATATTAACTGTATTCAGCAAAGTGGCTTCAATTTGGGCAGATGTTTTCATGTATCTATCACCAGTATTTATCTACTTTCTATAAAAGAAACTTGGCTGAACTTCAAAGTATAATTATTGATCTCTCTTGGAAGCCAATGGAAGTGAATTCACTATCAGATTTTTTTTAATACAAATGGAGGACAATTAAATGCAGTACATTACAGTTGTCCCACTTTATCCACAGGGGATACATTTCAAGATCCCCAGCGGATGCCTAAAACCACAGATAGTACCAAACTCTATGTATACTGTTTTCCTGTACATCCATACTTTGGTTTATAAATTAAGCACAGTACAATTAACAACAACAATAATAAAAGAGAGCAATTATAACAATATACTGTAATAAAAGTTATGTGAATGTGGTCTCTCTCAAAATACCTTGTGCTATAGTTACTCTTCTTGGGATGTTTGATGATAAAATGCCTACATAATGAGATGAAGTAAGGTGAGTAGGCATTGTGACACATAGCATTAGGCTACTATTGACCTTCTGGCAATTGGTCAGGAGGATCATCTGCTTCCAGTCCGGATGGCTGTGAGTAACTGAAACCACAGATAACGGGGACTATTGTACTGAAACAGACTTCCCTGTGTTATACATCTCTTCAGAGAGCAAGCATGGTTCCCATTCTTCCACGTGACTTTCTTTGCAGCATTTTACCACAAAATGATGACTCCCTTACAACTCAAGTAAGAAATGTTTAGGCCTACTTCTTCATAATCACTTGCTCCAAGAATAAGAATTCCACATTCTCAGATGAAAGACTGGATGGATGAAATTGTGTGCTATCCCAACAAAGCATGCAGCTTTCAGGTATCATCAGATGAAACAAATATGTCAATCAAGCAACCAATGAGGGAGATCATCTTCTTCCCTAGAAAATAATTCTATTGCTTAGCCATATGTAAGTTAATGTCTGAATATCATTTTGGGTATTGTGACATTTTCAAGTCCCATACAGCCAAATAAACCAGAAGGCTACCTATCTGAGTCAATGCTGGCGTATCATTTAGCATATGGAAACTTCTCTTATTTTGCTGGATCTGGCCCTAAAGTATGGGTGGAGACACAGGGTGACGGCCAATAACCTAATTATGTATATGGCTTATTGACTTGTCCAAAAGAAAATAAGTCAATCATTCATATTAGTCTGATAAACTAATTCTGAAGTCTGAGGATTTTATTAGAACTGATAAATTAGGTACTAGGTTGGCAATGGTTTCCCAAAGAGAAACTTATTGGGGAGAAACCATCATGTCAACTTGTTTTATTGTTTGTATGTTTCACGGCAAAATGATTCAGTCTCACCAGGTTTCACATTAAGAGGAGTGGAGCCATCCCAGAATGTATACTTAGTTGTCTGTTTAAGAACACTTATCAAGTTAATGGATTCATGACTTCTTCCATTCCATGACTTCAAGTATTTCGTGGGTCAGGAGACTTGAAAAATTTAACTTTGAATAATATAAAAAAGACTGTGATTCTGGAGATCTGAGTTTCTGTTTTACCGGTTTAGTCTACTGTGTTTGTTGACAGTGAGCTAACTCACTGAAATGTGCTAAGTAATGACTTTATATCCACGAAGAGCTGTTACCCTGATGTTTTGATTTTTTTAACCAAATAATTTGAGGCAGAAATAATATATCGTGTCCTTTGTTAGGTCTCATTGCCCAAGGAAAAGATTACCTTCAAGAATCTTGCCTACAACATGAAGGGTCTCTACTTTGACTAACTGCAAGATCTCTTTTCTGGCTGTTGGATCACAGGTGGCTCCCCATTCTGAGTTTGCAAAAAAAAGTGCATCTTGATAAGTTAGGTTAAAAGTGGTAGAATGTTCGTAGATGAGAACATCAATTCAGCTCTCAGCAGGTGCAAGTTCAAAGTGCCTTTTTGCTTAAAGCCACCACCAGCTCTGCACCTGCTCCTTGGAGAAGGAACCAAGTATTAGGAGGGTTGCCATGGGAGAAATGACTTAACAAAATCATAAGCCGGATATGGCTGTTTCCTCTCTAGTAGGCGCATGTGTGTGCCCTCTCTGTTATACCCAACCCAGGAGATTTCATGTGGAAGTTGTCAGAGAAAGAATAAAGGCTAAATATCTGCGAGGATGCACTGTTACTTAGAGTCTATCAGACAAAGCCAAGCAGAGGAAACGTGCACAAATTCTGCTTCACCTAATAATCTTTTCCTTGAGGTCATGCTGCAGGTGAAGAGTAAACAGAATAAATCTGACTGATAATGAAATGAGGAAAGTGTTGAAAGGGTCTGGCTGACAGAAAATGAGCACTGGAAAATCACAGGATAGAATTGCAGCTGGGAAGTCAAGGCAGGTACTCTGGTGCTCCAGGGAAACTGGTTTCCTCTTCCACTTGGTCCTGTGTTTCTCTCCAAGTTCAGAGGTTGTTCCAGATGATTGGATGATACAATTGTCCCAAATCAGGTGGGACAATCACTGACGTGTTTGGGTGAGGAAGTAATTTCAGGGATACGGAATTCTAGGAGAAACTAAAGTTATTCTGTGCAAGTGTTTGACTTTGAAGGGGGCAGGGGTTGTTGACAGCAGGACAGGAAGTGCTGTGTACATTTCCTGTTCTTGTTTCCTTAGCCGACATCCTTGGGCATCTCTCCTCCTTGGCGAGGCGGCGGGGGAGGGGGGAAGTGTTCTCTACTGCCCTCTTTTTAGTTTTCTTAATCTTGTTTAGGACACCTGCAGCAAGGAAACATCTCTCCAACAGGGATGGGTCTAGGGTTGCAAGAGTGCTATACAGTGTGTTAAAGTAAGGTTAAGAGATTCACAGAAATGAGTTTTGAGAGGCTGGCATCAGTGTTGACTTCAAACAAAAACCTGACCTCACATGTTTATTCTTCCTAACACTGAAGGGCTTCAGGAATCTCACACCTTTGGGAAATAATCAAAATCACAGAGTGGATGGCAATCACCTCTTATTATAAAGGCTCACGTACACTTTAGAAAAGCAATTTTTCTAGTCGTGGACTTAAGGAAAATATTACTATTCTCTTATGTTTTTATTACTATAAACAAGCAATTTCATTTCAACATTTACTCTTTATTGTGTTGCATGAAGTACCTATGTAATGCAAGTATGTACTGTACTAAAATACCTATATTTCCAAATAACATTATATGGTGTAGCCCACAGTCTCTGCAGAAGCATCATGAGTAGCCTGTGCCTTTATACTTTACAATCCATTGCTGGGTGCTGTGAAAAGTATGCTGACAGATGAAGAAAAAGAAATAAAGCTAAGTATGAATACACTTTTCCAAACATATACATACACAGCTTACAATGGAGCCCCAATGGTAACAAGTCATATGACAACATTGGATGTAATATCTATAAAATGTAGACTCTGCAATAAAAAGCCAAAGGCACATAAAAATATATTTTAACTTTAAAAATAACTTAGTTACAGTAATACTTTGCTTGTGTCTTACCAACATGTAGCTGACAGTCAAAATTTTGCAATATAGATATAATATATAGGGATATATAAGAGCTACAAGAAAATCCCCCAAACCCATAAGGTTGTTCAAATGTGAAAACAGAGAACAGTTTTAACACGGAAGAATTTGCTACTGTGAGCCCAAATAATGTAATATAGAAAAGAGTCTAGAAAAAAAGGCCTAGGCGTTAAATAAATGGACTTCTTCTTGCTCAGAAAATGCTGGAGTACTGCCAAGGTCTTTAATGTGATTTGTGCAGCCCTTCATAGCTAGTGCCAAATCCTGGCCAAGCCAGAGTTCTCACATGTCTGGAAACAAACAACAAAAAAAGTGAGCTGAACATATGCAAAACCTGCCGAAAGTGGGTTCTGACCCACTCCCTTCCTTTCTGCCACCAGGATAGTTTGTTTTTGCAAACAGGGCATTAACAGGTACAAAAAATACTTCATAGGAACATTATTTTAGAAAACCCATCACACACAACTGCAAACATAGCCGGGGAAGCTCTTGTCTTCGACTGCGGTTAGTTTTGTTTTTATTTTTTGATACCTTTTTACCCCACAGGCCAAGAGTTGGCGCTGTTACTTATTTTTATCCATGACATTCAGCACCTCATCCAAAAACGAGGGCCCCAGGTCGAGCTGCAGGGAGAGGAGGGAACCTGTGAGATCAGAGAGGGACTCCTCTGACTTGGTCTTCTTGACGAGCTCGCACGCGGCCGAATGCTCAAACATGTCCTCGGCCGACCAGTCGGGGTACTGTTCCGAGAGGCTGGAGGAGTGGCTGTCCCTGCCCTGGCTGGACTGTGACGCCGACCCGCTGGAACCCCACGAGACGTCGCCCTGGTGGCCCGTCCCATTCTCCAACAGGCTGCTTTTCTCCGGAGCCTTTTCCTCCACGACGGGCTCACAGCTAAGCCGGGGCAGCTTTGCTGGCCCAAAGGACTCCTGTTTGGAATTAAATGTCACTGGCGACAGCAGGGGCAACATGAGTGCTTGGGACCCCCCAATGGTAGGTAGGGAGATGGCGTTTTTGAGCACTGGGGAGGGCGTTTCCGTGAACATGGAGTCGGACGTGCTGTTGGCCCGGAAGAACTCGCTGTGCCCCGGAAACTGACCTGCGCGCGCTTTCTCCTGGTTTCCCGGCAACAGCTCGTAGTTCCCTTGCAGGAAGGAGATGTCACCAAAGACGTCGTGCTGGCCCTCTTTGCCGATGTGGATGGTGTGGCGGAAGTCTCCAAGCGGGGGGCTAATCATATCAGGGGACAAAATGTCCCTCAGTTTAAATTTCTTGCCTTTTTTGTTATTGGCAGCTTTTAGGTAAATTGGGGTCTTGGCTGGCATTTTGGAATTTGAGGACGTCTACTGTGCCAAAGGGAGAAGGGCCACTTTCTTCACGAATGCTGCGTTTCCAGAATTCCTTTTTTGATAAAATCTGTCACATCATTTTTCTCAAGTAGCTTCCAGAAGTGGCTCTGAAATGACACTGGGGTTTAAGAGGCCTTCCTGACGTTATAGCCAAGTGGGGCGTCCTGGAGAGCCAGGTACATCATCCAACCCCTTCCACGTTGGGGAGAAATCTGGAAAGGAAACCAAAGTGGGTTATAGTTAGCTGGCCAGTCAGGGTTTACCGGGGCCCCCTTTTTCACGAGAGCGTGCAAATAATGGCATGACCAGTTCTATCTAGAGCCAAGCTTTACTATTATTTTTTCCCTCTATTGAGTAGGATAAAAACTTTCATTATAGGGTCTTTTATGAAGGGTCCAGGGTCCACTAATCTTAGTCTTATTTTAGGGGGAGAAAAGAAAAAAAAAGGAAAGAAAGAGATATAAAAACCTCCTACCTATGACGTCAGCACTGTCTAAACATGGCCACAGACACAATTTTCTGCACGTGTCTGAGACTTTTGATTTTTCCTCTATTAGAAGAACTGCTGTCAGCACGTGACCAGATTGATTTCAGCTCCTTACATGCAAGTGGATTTGCTTTAAAAATGTGTTTTTGCTTTCGTTTGGCGTTCACACCAGCAAAACTGATAATATTTTGTTGTTGAGTTCCGTGTCTAAGTAAAATTAATGCAACAGAGTGAATAGTCCTATGGAAAGGGGCTGGAAATATTTACTAAGTGACAGGGGCTAGTATGTGCCAGAGGTCAACAAAATCTTAGCGAAGTGCATTCTTACAAATGAGAAAAGAGGGATTCAAGAGTCAAAAAATCACCCTTTCTCAATCACCTGTGGCCAGTAACTAGAAGGGCTACAGCTGGAATCAAGTTGTGGCACAGAGAACTGGGCTGTAAAGGGGTTCAGGACTTGAGGCATTCTGAGATGGAAAGAAAGGAACAAAACAGTTTCTTTGCAAAGAAAACAAAACAAAACAAAACAAAACAGTGTGATCATCTGTAACAGGTTGGGCTTCACTTGGGAATACCTTTGGAACTTTTTTTTTTTAATTTTTTTAAATTTTTATTTATTTATGATAGTCACAGAGAGAGAAAGAGAGAGAGAGGTAGAGACATAGGCAGAGGGAGAAGCAGGCTCCATGCACCGGGAGCCCGATGTGGGATTCGATCCCAGGTCTCCAGGATCACGCCCTGGGCCAAAGGCAGGCGCCAAACCGCTGCGCCACCCAGGGATCCCACCTTTGGAACTTTTACTGATAAAGCTTGTATCCTCTCCCTGGTCGTATGCCTCTCCCCTGGGGGAGGCAGAAGCTCAAGGTAACCTCCATGATATATGTAGCTCCTGAAGTTAACGCCTTTGGGAGCACAACCTGGGACCCGCTTCTAAGGTACAGAATATGGCAAAGGATGGGATACCCCCCTGACTCCTGCCATGGTCAGGTTACATTACAAAAGAAGCCATCTTAGCAGACTGGAGAAAGACTCCTTTTACTGGCCTTGAAAAGGTAAGCTGCCACGCTGAGGGAGGGCCAACAGAGATGATTCTGCCAACAACCGGAGGGACCCAGAAGTGAATTTTCCCCCCAGCTGAGCCTCTGATGAGACTGCAGCCCTGACAGCTGGCTCACAGCCCAATGAGATCCTGGTGCTAAGCCCTGCCTGGACTCCCACCCCACAGAAACTGGAGGACAGTAACTAGGTGGTTTTATAAGCCACGAAGTTTGTGGTAATGTGTTACCAGCATGGAAAACTCGCATGTGCTACTTATACAATCAGAAGTGCTAAGCTAGGCAGCGTGGGGCTCCAGGTTCTCATCTTACAGATGAGAAACTCTTCTCTTAAAAATAAGCTTCTAGGGGATCCCTGGGTGGCTCAGCGGTTTGGCACCTGCCCTTGGCCCAGGGTGCAATCCTGGAGACCCGGGATCGAGTCCCACGTCGGGCTCCCGGCACGGAGCCTGCTTCTCCCTCCTCCTGTGTCTCTATCACATTAAAAAAAAAAAAAAAAAAAAAAAAAAAAAGCTTCTAACACTTCAGTCACATCACCTGACGTGGGGAAGTTAAAACCTTTCCTGCTGCGGGAATTCCTGAGATGGCTTGACTGAGACCTCTCCCATCGGGCTCTCTCCCACTGGCAGCCGAGCAAATAAATAAATAAATGCTCTGAGGGCTGAGTCGGGTGGCGGCTTGAAGAGTCAACCATGTTGGCTCTGTAGCAGCTGGAGGCTGTATGTATTTGTTCCATACTTCTCTCCTTCTGGCGAGAGTTTTAAATTCATCTCCCCATGGCAGGTGGAAAGAACTGTGCCCCGGCAGCCACCAACCAGGTACCAACTAGCTCTGTTTGAGAAGTGGCTTGCACCCAGGCCCGACAGGGAAGAGAACAATGAGCCGGAGGAGAGCTAGAGCTTCGTGTGTGGGGAGGAGGCCCAGGCCACCTGAGGGAGTTAGCACCCAGAGGGAGCTTTGAAGCTGCCACCCAGGACCACACACTTGCCATCTCTCTTTCTCTTTCGTCCCAGCTAAGGCCCTGGCTCAAACAGGTTCTTTGAGGTGCTGCTGCTGTGGCCGCATAAAGGTGCCCTGAAGTTTTGCTTCCTATGGGAAGTTAGGATCCCATGGCGACATTGTGTTACTAACAGAGATGCTTGATAACGAAGAAGGGGAAATCCTGGTGTAAAGAGCCAGGCCAGTAGGTCCGGATGTTCTCTCAATTTTAACTCAAATTTGGGTTTGGTGGCAGTCACAAGTGTTACAAATCCAAAACCTAGGAGCCCAACATCAGAACTTCCTGTTAGTGTATAACAGCCAGTTACACCCTTAACCAGCTACTCAGGGTGGCAGGTGCCGCCTTCCTGCGCCTCTGGGCACAGCACAGAGGAGGACAGCCTGCAGGAGACATCAAGACACGGAGCCCACAGAAGGAGGGACAGCTGCCCTCTGGACTGGTGTCCACAGCACACTCAGCCAGGAGGACAGCTGCCATGGAAAGATACAGTGTGCCCACAGCAGCTCAGGGGCAGGGTAGGGCTGCTCGTGCTCAGCTGGTGGAGCCAGGGTTAGAGGAGGCCAGAAACTGAGGCAGGGCACTTCAAACTATGCAGAAAAAGAAAAATGCCATGAAGATGCAGCCAGAGGCCGGTTCTCTGCCCTGCTGACTGGATCACTCACACACATCGCCCTTCACTTGAACTCTGGGTGAGCTGGAGAGAAGGGAGAGGAAGCACTTGCACCCGGAAGGCTCAGGGGAGGAACACCCAGCCCCTCCTCCCTGCCTGCCTGGCCACGGCCACTGCAGGCCCTTCGCCGAGGCTGGCTTGGCCTGGTCGCCTGGTCAAAGCTGGGTTTTAGGTCAGTGGCATGGACACAAAGGTGGAAAGGAAGTGACAAAAAGTAATGAAAAGGGCTGGTGAGTGAAAGCTCCAAAAGCTGCAGGCAGTGAGTCTGGAGCGCAAGAAGAGAGAAGATACCGTAAAAGGCATTTTTCTTTCTCTAAATATTTACATAGTGTTTACTGCCTGACAGGGATGTAGGCTTCTAGGACTTTGCAAATAATAATTTGTATTGAATTTCTACTATGCCAGTGCTATGAGCTCCCAAATACTCTAGAAATTTGTTTTTTTTTTAAAAAGGAATTTTGGACAAAAATGCCAGTTTTACAACTTTAGATGAATTGCTATTTGCGATGTAATGCTGGGGAGTGGAGCTCTGACCCCAGGCCTCTATCCTATCTATCCTCTTCCAGCTCAGGGGCAACTGTGCTTGATCTCACAAATAATCTAATAGGGAGGATTTCTTACATTGGCTGCTTCCTCCCCTCCTTTTTAGATATTTTGGGCTCCTGGGCTCATGAGCTGATGTACATCAGTGCCCCTTTCCCTTTCTGGCCTATTCTTTCCACATCTTCTCTCCCATCATCAGTGCAGAGACCTAATGGGCAGTTTCTCCACTGGTAACAATGTGGCGGGTCCTGGGGAGGGGACATGCATGCTCCTGGGAACCACCAACACTGAATATTACTGAGAGCATCTCTGCCTTCTGGGCCCTGTTCCCACCTTGGATGCACACTAGCTCATGCATGAGAACCCACGAGGTTGCTACTATTAAAATCTTCATTTTACAAATGAGTCACTGAGGTACACAAGATGAGCCCTGAGTCACTTTGCCAAGGCTACATGGCTATAAGACACTAAGCTAAGTGGCCGGTCTCCAGAGTCTAAGGTCCCAACACTTAATGAGCACACTGGCCGGAAGTTCAGTCAAATTAAGAAGGGGGTACATTCCAAAGCCTGTTTGAGATACAAATGTGTGATAACACATGGGGCTGATAAGGGTGGGGTCAGGCTTTGCACATACCAATGGTGGGAGCCCCAACAGACCCCACCCAGGTAGAAGGTGGCTTGGTAAGATCTATTAAAGCTGCAGGGCACCTGCATGCCTTAACTAATTAGTGTCTGCCTTTGACTCATGATCCTGGGATCCTGGGATCGAGTCCTGCCTGCACTGAGCTCCTTTTTCTCCTTCAGCGGGGAGCCTTCTTCTCCCTCTCCCTCTGACTGCGGCTCCCCTGCTTGTGCTCTGTCAAATAAAATCTTTAATTAAAAAAAAAAAAACCCAAACTGCAAATCCTATGCCTTCAACACCGGAATTCCACTTTCAGATTTATCTAATTTACATAGATGGGAAAGAATACATGTACGAGATTGTCAGTCTAGGAACTTAAGATAGTCTGGAGTTGGAAACAACCTAATTGTCCACTGACAGAGGACTGGTTACACCAAATTAAGGTGCATCCAGTACAAATGAATATTATATAGGTCTTCAAAAGGATGAAGCAGCTCTTTGTATGCTGATATAGAAAGAACTCAAGATATCTACCTTTAAAGGAAAACCAGAGAGCTGCTAAAGTACATAGATATACTTGTCTCGGCTTGTATGTCTATAAAATCTCTCTGGAAGCATACACAGGAAACTAATAATGGTGTGGCCCACAGGGAAGAGTGATGGAATATGACAGGCAAGGGCGGAAGAGAAACTTCTCGCTATTATGATTTTGGGTTTTTGAACCATGTGAATGAATTAGCAATTAGCTATTTAAAAAAATGTGCTGCTTAGGGCTCAGGCTGCACCTTGGAGCTAATCTTATATATATAGGTCCCAAAATGCCTACTGAATCTGA